AAACAAAGATATCCTCCGTGCCATCTAGCAACAAAATTAGGCCGCGGCACGACTCGAGACTTGGAAAAAAAAGCAGAACGATCAACTGATGACTATGATGCAACAACAGAACCAACGGGAAACACAGTTTGAGACTTGGCAAAGAGAATAAAATGACCAAATAAGGACTTCGATGCAGCAGCTCCAGGACGGCCAAGCTAGCATGATCGATGAGATGGTCGCCCTCACTATGCGAGTCGTAGACCTCCGCGACTACATTTACCATACCGGCGCTTTGAACCTCGAGGCACGAGGCGGACAAGCTAGAGGCAGAGGCAGAGGAAGAGATTAGTGTTCACCAGTCGCCACCTTGTTGCTGTCTATTTCTTGTACCTTTTTTTTTCTTTTTCCATTGTATTTCCTTTTCGCATTCCTTTCAAATCAGTGAGGACAGTGATTGAGATAGTGTGGGAGCGGAGCGTTATTTTCCTTATTTTTCCTTTACTGCTATTCTGTACGTTCATTTTAAATTTTAATTTAAGTAATTTCAATTCCGTCAAATAAAGCTCATTTATATATCTTTTCTCCGTTACGCGAATTCTCCTTACTTTATTCGACATATACAAAAAATTTTATCTACCTCAAAGCATCACGTGGACACGCCAAGGTTCAACCAAGTTTGGAAATCCCGAGAAGAAAATTCTAACAAAACCAATACCGTCCTGACACCTTAGACCTTCAGTTTATGCGAGTCAGTTTAACTACCTACTTGTACCAAAGCCTTAAGTTTCGGCTCTGACATAGCCCCTTGTAGTTTATACGAGCAGTCAGCACCATTGATCAGTGCATATTTATGCACATTCTCCTATAGTTTTACTTAGGAATTTATTTACTTTATCTTGATTATTTATATGTTTTATTATGTTTTTATATTTTATTTTATTTTTGGTTTAATTTGATTTTCGCACTTTATTTTTCAGCTTTAGCAGTCTGCGCGAAAACGATCATAACTGGAGTTCTAGGAATCTGTTTGAGGCGTTCTAAAAATTGCCGGAAAGCAAAGACAGAGAGCTACAACATTCGTGTTGGAGTCGAAGTCAGATTTGGAGAATATTTTCCCAGAATATTTGTTGAAGTTACAACATTAGGAATCTGTTTTAGTTTTAGGTCATGTTTTGGGCCTGGGTTATGTTTTCAACCCAGTTGGGTTATGAACCGGATCCGTTGTTTTTATTTTGAGGGGAAACCTCGTTTGGTGTTCATTCTATTCTATTCACACAAAAAAAGAAGAACACTTGAAAAAGAACTCATGGAGAACTAAATTCCTTAGGTTGATCTGCTGTAACTGGTTTCCGCCGACACTTTGAGGTTCCTTTAATTTCCAATAAAATCTATTTCCTTTCAATTCTTCTCTATGATATCTTGTTTGCTTAATTTGATTTATCTTAGGGATGGTTGATTTTTTTTGATGATTGCATGTTCTTATACTTTAATCGCGTTTTCTTAATCCGCGTATGTTTCTCGTGTTTGCTTAATTCACGGTTACTATATTTTATCTGTTTGCTTAATTCGGAAATTAGGAATATGAATCGTATAATATCAATTGCGCTTGTTTGATTGTTATTATAATCGAAAAGGGGATATAATCCGCTTAGGAATTGAGAATTATTGGGATCGATGATAAGTTGGGAAACTAAAACAACAGATTAACCGTTTCAGCTTATTTTGATAATCACTTATTTTAACCGCTTAATTGAAATCTCTTTATTTAATCGATCCTAAACCAAGAAAACTCCCTTATTTCATTACTGTAATTGGTTAATCACTACAAGAATCCTTGCGATACGATATTCCGAGTTACTGTCGTTGTACTGTATTTTTACAAAAACACTCATTTTGATCCGCGCGCGGCAGCTGATCAAATTGGCGCCGTTGCCGAAGATTCTTGTCGATTTAGCCAATAGTCTAGTTTTAGGTTTTGTTTGTTTTAATTTTCTGCATTTTTTGTGTATTTTCTTACGTTTTCGCGTCCGACCGTCCTGTTTATCGTCAGACCAAGTAAAAAAACTAGGTTTTGGGCAAATCGCCTTCTTTTTTAGATCTGTTTCATGAACTTGAAGCAGAAAAATCGTGCGATCAAAAGTCCTTAACTCTAATAGAGTTATATGAGTTGGCCCATCGAATCGCCAAATTCCGCTTTTTTCTATTTTTAATTAATTTTTTATTGTTTTCACTGTCTCAAAAAAATCCAAAACAATTCCCAAAATTCTCATTTGATCTAATTAGATTAAATTTTGTGTTTTAAGATTTTTTTCGATTTTATTTTAACCATCTTCCTTCTTTGAGTTTGATTCTGACCTATAGGGACATTGTGGGAATTATCGGATTTGTTGCTGCATTTGCAATCCTGGCCACAATCTTTGATGCAATGAGACATCCCATGGAAGAGCATTCAGTGTTTCAGATTGAGTTACTTTCTGACTTAGTAGACGATACACTTCCCGAGTTTTTATCTGATTTCCCTTCTTTACTAGACTATGATGATACTTTTTCCTGTGATGTGTGCACTAACACTAATGTTTGCTCTACTTGTGCCGAGATAAATGCTGCATTGTAGACTGATATTTTGCAGGTGGATAAGGTTATCGATGAAGTGGTTTGTGCAGTTGAGGCTCTAGACGTTCCTGCTGCCCCGACCATCCCATCTATTGAGCAACCCCCTTCTTTAGAACTCAAACCTCTCTCAGAAAATCTCAAATATGCCTACTTAGACATAAATGATAAGCTTCCTAATATTATTTCAGCTAACCTTGATTTCAATCAAGAAAGTAGGCTTTTGCAGGTTTTAAAGAGGCACAAAAAGGAAATAGGGTGGACCTTGGCCATGTGTATCAAAATAAACTCAAACACAATAAAAAAATGTATCAAAATTAATAAATAAATAATACATATCATCCTAATCCTATTTAAAAACAAACTACTAAAAGAAGCCAATTAAAACTTTACAAAAGACAAACAATGATAACAATTATATTGGATAAAATATCACCGTGCATAAAATAGTAGTGAATAAAATATCAACATCTGACTTTCTCACTGTTTACATCATATAGACTCTTATATTGACTGATTCCTTAATAGTTAAATCTTAAATTTGTCACACGTATATACTAATCAAATCTTTCATTTTCTTAAAATCAACATCTATTTCTAAAGAAAACATGTGAATTAATGTTTTGACAACTTAATAAATCAACATGACATACAATTGTTATTTTATTTTAAGTTTTTCCAATCAACACATTTATTAGAAATTTATAGAAAGAACGTCATAATTATAATTCATTTTGTATGTATAATAATTTATAATACAACGCAATCAACATAAACCTAAGAGAAGAGTGTTGTTTTTATAGTTAAAGTCGTTTTAATTTTAAGTAAAAATTTTTTTTTAACAGAAATCTCGTGGGCAAAGCCCGCTCCGTCCCGTCCCGCTTTTTTAAGCGGGTTAAGTAGGGTGGACTGACCTAAAGTACCGCGCTGAAAACCTCAGCTCAGATCGTCAAAAATGGTCATGTGTTGAGGACACATTATAAATACCCTCTTTCACTAGAGAGTCAGGTATCTTATTCACTATACCTTCTCTCTGTACTTGGTTTCTCTCTAGTTCTGTTACTCACTTAAGTATCAGAGCATCTTGTATGTACACCCTTTTTCTCCTCTACAACACCGGTGAAGGCAGCAACTCAGGACACGTGACAAGCTACTGACTCCTTTCTGATTAGGTACGATCATATACATATATATATATATATATATATATATATATTTTTATATATATATATATATATATATATATATATATATATATATATATATATATATATATATATATATATATATATATATATATATATATATATATATATATATATATATATATATATATATATATATATATATATATATATATATATATATATATATATATATATATATATATATATATATATATATATATATATATATATATATAATTTTATAAGAATTATATGTTGATTAGAGTTTTGAGATTAGAATAGTTAGATTTATTAGGATTTATAATATATTAATATAAATACAATTTTTGTTATTATTATTTTAAATTATTAAAAATTATTTTAATGATAAATATTATTTTAACATTTGATGTAATTTAAAATATATATTAGAAATTTATTCAAGTTCTTAAAAAATTCTATTTTAAAATCTTTCCTAATACCCGAAACTTTTAAATAATGCGTTATAGTCTACACTCTTTAAGGATAAGGGTTTGAATCCATCAAGTGTTTTATAAATTATATTACGTGAAAATAACTAATAATTAAGAAAAAAAATTACTCTATTAATATAATAAACAATTTGAAATCTTACTATAATATTTTAGCATATTTTAATTTTTAATATAATAATTTATATTATTATATTAAGTAATATTAAAAAATTCAAGATAATTTGAAATTTAAATAAAAAGTGAACTATATTAATAAAGGAAAGAATTAAATAAAAGTGAAACAAACTATTATTTTTGATGTGGATCCACTTCGAAATAGGCATGGAATCCTCTAGTAATTGCAGAACGCCCGTTATAAATATTTTTGATTTATCATTGAGTCAGTACAACCTATATATAAAACGACTTCTGTCAACCTATAAATAAAACGACTCCTCTCAACTGATTCACTGACTTATCATTAGCTTTTATTTTCTTAAAAAATAATCTACGATTTCAAGGTAAGTCTCAGTTTTCTATCTATTTGGAGTATTCTTTTGCTTTTCAATATGCTTGGGTTTTCAATTCTATTAATACATGCTAGATTCAATATTGTGGTTTTTTCATAATTTTTGGATATGCTGAATGATTTGGATATTAGAGTTTGTGTTCTAATTTTAGTTGGTTAGGATTTGTGTTGTGATTTGTTTTAATTTTAGTTGATTAGGGTTTGTGTTGTTTATAATGTTTACTATGCTGACTTGTACAGATGCAAATCTTTGTGAAAACATTGACCGGAAAAAGTATCACCATTGAGGTGGAGAGTTGTGATACCATACAAAAAGTGAAATCTAAGATCCAAGATAAGAAAGGTATTCGAGCCGATCAGCAAAGGCTTATCTTTGCTGGAAAACAATTGGAAGATAGTCGCATCCTTGCCGATTACAACATCCAGAAGGAATCCACTCTTCACCTTGTGCTCCGATTGAGAGGTGGAATGCAGATCTTTGTTAAGAACTTGGCAGGGAAGACCATCACTCTTGAGGTTGAACCCTCGGATACTATTGATACTGTCAAAGCTATGATTCAGCTTAAGAGTGTCATTAGACCAGACCAACAAAGGATTATATTTGCAGGGAAACAACTTGAAGATGGAAGGACCCTGGCTGATTATAACGTCCAGAAGGAATCCACTCTACATCTGGCTCTGAGGCTTAGTGGGGGTATGCAAATTCTAGGTTGAAATTTCTTATACAATTGAGAATGTCAAGGCGAAAATTCAGGAAAAAGAGGGAATTATTTTCTCGTTAGTTTAGTTTGATATCATGAGGTAGATTTAGTAAAAATTACAATTTTGTTGCTTATTTTAAGGGAACACACAATACTATATTTATCAATTGGCAAAAAATTTCTGTTTCATATAATTTGTACAATTTATTAAAATTTAACTCATCACAACAGCAAAATTTATTATATTTTTCCAAATTTTTTGTAAATGTATTAAAAAATATTGATAAATTTTAACTCATCACAACAGCAAAATTTATTATATTTTTCCAAATTTTTTGTCCCTTATTTTAAGGGAACGCTCAATACTATATTTATCAATTGGCAAAGCTACTTTTACACTTAATCCTCCGATATAAAAGCACGTGCCTTAGTTGGCAAAGCTACTTTTACACTTAATCCTCCGATATAAAAGCACGTGCCTTAGTTTGTTTGTTAATGTTTTGTTGTATCGTGAATGTCCCTCCGCGTTTCCAATTTTACCTTAATTAATTTTCCCATTTCATATAATTTTTACAATAAAAAATAAATTCTTTATTATAATTGATTTATTGTAACTATAAAAATTTATTATAGTTTTCATAATAATTTGGTACTAAAATTTCAAGTAACAATTGAATTTGCACCGGTATTAACATATTTTAAAAATTAGTTAATAAAATTTTATTGTCTAATATTTGAACCAATAATTTTTCTGTTTCATATAATTTGTATCTCGTCATAACAGCAAAATTTATTATATTTTTTTAAATTTTTTGTAAATGTATTAAAAACTATTGATAAATTTTAACTCATCACAACAACAAAATTTATTATATTTTTACATAAAAGCGTTGTCTATTCTTCGCGTCTTTAAATTAGTGCAACATGTTGATATATTATGTAAATCTATCTATTATTCATGCGAAGAATTACAATAAATGGTGCAAGCAAATGAAAGTGTTGTTTGACTATCAAGATGTTCTTGATGTGATCAAGAACGATGTGAATCTTCTTGTTAAGGTGCTACTCTGGAGCAAAGAGCAACATACAAGGAAGAAAAGAAGAAAGATTTCAAGACGTTGATTTTAAATCACATATATGAAAATGGAACTATAAGACCCGTCCAAAGTAACTCCATTGTCATTTCTACGCCGGAGAGACATTAGTAACCCTAAAAGTTTGCATGGCAAACATGATCTATACTATTATCAATCAAGTGAACCCCAATTAAATTGATTAATCAATTAATCGCTTGAACGGTAACTCAAATGTTTCACTTGTTGGATGGTAGATTTAGTTCTTAAAAATTACTTCTAATATATTAAATCGTTGTTTTGCCTCTGGCGTTTTTCTTAATTTCTTGATTAATAATTGTGGCTAACACATATAAACTTGTGCCTAATCATGCCTTAAACCCTGACATGGATACACATACAAGCATGAGGCATCAATTTTAAATTGTTTATGTTAACTACCACAACATAGCTACCTCACTAGTAGAAAAAAAATATTTTATAATAGAGGTTATTAATTCAGTTCACCTGCCACCTGACTTAAGAAATGATGTGATGATAATTTCGTAAATATTTATAATATTGTTAGATCAGTTTTATTTAGAACTGACTTTAAAAAAATTTTAAAAAAAATTTAATTCGTATTAAATTTCTTAAGTCGCCTGCGTTCACTAATTAACTTAAAAATATATATTTATTAAGTTGGCCAAGTTTTATTTAATTTTAACCAATTAAATTGTGACGTGGAATCCAAAAAAGAATACCTTCAGATCAGAAAAAAATTAAACTCCTCCCAAAAACCGTACGATCCACCTTCTCCTTTTGACCGCATCTCATTTGAGGAATCTCACAGCAAGCTATCAACCGCGACCGCTCCTCACCCTCACTCGTCACCGTCCTCACGCCATCATCATCGTCTTCAGAACACCACCACCAAATGAGAATCGAAGCTGCATCTTAGCCGTGACGACATGACATCCAAAGCATTTAGCACAACCAACAGTGAAGCAACACCTATGATGGCGACGAAGGCGAAAACCTACGACACTACCACGCCATCCAGTTCTTCATCAGAAAATGCGACTCAGTTTGCAGCATCAACTTTACGACAATGATGTCGAACGAGTAGCAGCTGCGGTAACATCAGATCACGGTTTTGATTTAAGCAAAGGGAATCTTGATAAAGGGCTATTGTGTGATGTGTCCTGTTCTGAATCTACAACAACGACAACGAAATAGAGCGGCAACATTGAAATCGGTAACGCTTGCTATGTCATTTATCGGATGTCTGTTTCTTAGGATTGCGGTTTGTTTGATTTGGTGATTATGCAATCTTTTTGTTAATGATGATGTTGTGGATAACTTGTGGATGCTGTAAGTATATGTTGCGGTTAACGTTCTGGCTTTGTTTTTGTAATCTCTTTTGTGTCAATTTATTTACGCTGGAGGATCCGATTCGGTTTTTATTTTTTTTCATAGCAGCCGCCTGAATTGCAGATTTTGCTCTAATGAGTGATATTACTATAAGTATGCTTGAATCATTTGAGTTTTGGTGGCCAACTATTCATGTTCGGTTTATGTCGGCTCATTAAGGGTGATTTGATTTCGTGTATGCTTTGTTTCAAGGCCGAGTTTCGTGTCGCATTTCAGGATTAATTGCCTTTTGTGATTCACAAACTCTATTTTTATTTTTTCTTTTGTAATGTATATGTTAATTTGAGCTGTTGTATACTCTTTCGTAGGTTCGGTTTATTGATATATACAATTTGATTATCAGTTGCAATTTAATTGTGATGTAGTTTGATAGTCCATGTGTTGGATGATGTAGTATATAACATTAAAACTGTCATATTTTGTATGCATGTTTTTGTTGATCGCGATAAATGTGATAAATGTCACTATCAAAGTTTATCTATCATGATTGTATTGAAATTATAGTCCAATTATAATATTCTAATTCATTGCTGCAGTGGTTTGACACAAACAAATTACAAAGAGTTGAATGAGTTATACGAGAAGCTTTATGAGTGTGGATTCTTCTTTACTGATATACTAGTGACTGTGAATTGTCTGTAGGCTTTGAAATCTTGGCATTTCCATGCAACCAGTTTCGTTCGCAGGAACCAGGATCCAGTGAAGAAATTCAGAATGTTGTCTGCACAAGGTTCAAAGCTGAATTTCCAATTTTCGAAAAGGTGATTATGCTTGCTTTTTTATTTTATTGCAATGAATTGTGGAAGCGTGCGGTTCAGTATTAAAAGATGTGCCGGTTTATATGGAAATCACTCTGAAATAGTCATTATATTGTAGGTTGAAGTTAATGGAAAGAATGCAGACCCTCTTTACAACCTGCCAAGAAATTTTTGCCTGCAATTCAAGAGGTTCTGATGCTGCGTATTATTATTTTTACATCATATGCATAATTCTACACGACTAACTATGTACCATATCACATGCATCATATGCATAATTCTACACGACTAACTATGTACCATATCACATGCATCATATGCATAATTCTACACGACTAGTACCATATCACATGCTCCAAATATCACAGGCTATGTACCATATCACATGCTCCAAATATCACAGGCTATATATTTCAGTGATCACTCACACTAGAAAAACCCACTCAAGAAAAAATCAACAAAGAAAAAATCAATCAAAAACCCACTCAAGATATTTCAGTGACCATAACACACTAGAAAAAATCAATTATGGCTAATCCAGCAACTAAACAAAAATTAGTCTCCATTTTTTTCATCTTAATCACTCTTTTCACATCACAAGCCCTAGCTGGTTGTGAAAGCGAAAGCACGGACAGTTGCAAAAGAAAAAGCCTTGTCTCTTAAAATCATAGCAATATTCTCAATATTAGTAACTAGCATGATTGGAGTGTGCTTACCCTTGTTGTCACGTTCCATCCTGGCTTTAAGCCCGGACGAAAGTCTGTTCGTGTTCGTGAAGTGTTTCGCGGCCGGTATTATTCTTGGAACTGGGTTCATGCATATACTTCCTGATTCTTTCGACATGTTGTGGTCGGATTGCTTGGATGAGAACCCATGGCACAGGTTTCCGTTTTCGGGATTTGCGGCTATGTTATCTGCGGTGGTTACTATGATGGTAGATTCTTTGGCTACCAGCTATTATAGTCAGAAGGGTAGGAAAGATGTTATAAGTTCAGCTGAAGGTGAAGGTGGAGAAAAAATGGGTGCTGTCCATGCTGGTCACTATTACCAGACGAAGACGGAAAGAGGAGTCACAGCTTCTCCGTTATCGCGTAGTTGCCATGGTAATATAAACACAATCTCCTAATATTTTAGATGTAATAATTTTTTTTATCAGACTTTACTTACCTCTCATCTGAACGCAGGTATTAGAACTCGGAATAGTAGTTCATTCGATCGTGATAGGACTTGCCATGGGATCCTCCAATAACACATGCTCGATAAAAGGTCTAGTTGCGGCGCTTTGCTTCCATCAAATGTTCGAAGGCATGGGTCTTGGTAGTTGCATCCTCCAGGTATGATGATTTCAGTGTAGAAATCTTTTATACTATCAACTATTGTAATAATCGTCTGGTTATTAAAAACATTTCGATCTCTTGAACTACAGGCGGAGTACAAGTTTGTAAAGAAGGCTATAATGGTGTTTTTCTTCTCGGTTACAACACCACTTGTAATTGCAATAGGAATTGCAATGTCTAGTAATTACAAAGAAAACAGTCCGAAAGCACTAATCACTGTTGGATTGCTTAATGGATCATCTGCTGGTCTTTTAATCTACATGGCTTTGGTTGATCTTCTTGCTGCTGAATTCATGAGTAAGAAGATGCAGGGTAGTATTAAGCTTCAATTAAAATCTTATGTTGCTGTTCTTCTTGCTGCTGTTCGTCTTCGTCTGGTAATGGTGATGGTGACCAGCATGGACAGCACCCATTTCTTGATCTCCACCTTCACCTTCAGCTGAAACTATATCAACTTTCTTACCCTTCTGACTATAATAGCTGGAATTATAACACCTTTCATCATAGTAACCACCGCAGATACCATAGCCGCAAAACTTGTGCCATGGGTTCTCATCCAAACAATCCGTCCAAACAATCCGCCGACAACATGTCGAAAGAATCAGGAAGTACGTGCATGAACCCAGTTCCAAGAATAATACCGGCTGCAACAAGAATAATACCGGCTGCAAAACACTTCACGATCACGAACAGATTTCCGTCCGGGCTTAAAGCCGGGATGGAACGTGACAACAAGGGTAAGCACACTCCAATCATGCTAGTTACTAATATTGAGAATATTGCTATGATTTTAAGGGACAGAGCTTTTTCTTTGTTGTTGCAACTGTCTGTGCTTTCGCTTTCACAACCAGCTAGGGCTTGTGATGTGAAAAGAGTGATTAAGATGAAAAAAATGGTTGAATTAGCCATAATTGATTTTTTCTAGTCACTCAAATATTTTGAGTGGATTTTTTATTGATTTTTTCTTGAGTGGGTTTTTCTAGTGTGAGTGGTCTGAAATATATAGCATGTGATATTTGGAGCATGTGATATTTGGAGCATGTGATATGGTACATAGTTAGTCGTGTAGAATTATGCATATGATGCATGTGATATGGTAAATAGTTAGTCGTGTAGAATTATGCATGTGATATGGTAAATAGTTAGTCGTGTAGGAACCTAATTCTATGAAGCAAATTTAGGTAACTACAAAACTAATTCTATGGAGCAAATTTAGGTAACTACAAAACTAATTCTATGGAATAGCAAATAAATTAAATTAAATAACCAACTAATTTAGGTAACTATTTTTAAAGTTAGTCGTGTAGAATTTTTTTTTAAATAACCAACTATTTTAAAATAAATATCAAATAAATTAAATTTTTAAAAAAATTACAAAACCAACTACTTGCTAGCATTCAGTAGCCATTCTAAATGGCGAAACAGACAACCAATCCAAATGACAAAATTGGCCAAATTGATTTTGGGGCCAAGCATTTAGCCCTTCCAATTGGCGAACGTGTAGCTAGGGTTTTGATTTTAATTTTAAAATTTCAATTAAATAATTAATTAAAATAAAAATTTTAATAAATTTAAATAATTAATTAAAATAAAGATCAAGGATATTCAGTGAGTGAATGGGTTAATTACCTAAAAAAACATCAAGGAAAACAACATCAGGAATACATAACTTGTTCTCTAAAATGAAACTATAAAAATAACATTGAGACAGACCAACAAAATTTGAAACTGATTTATATAGCCTGTGGTATGGCTAGGAAACTAATTGAATTATGCATATGATGTTAGAAAATACCAACTTGAGTGACTTCAAATATCGATACTACAAATTTAAATTGGCATTGTACTAAGTCGCCAAATCAATTGGCGAATGAGGCAAAAACCAATAAATTCGTCCTTCCAATTGCCGAATGAGGTCATTTCATTAGGATTTCTATTTTTTCTTTTTTTAATTATGTTTTTAATTTTAATTAATGTTTTATTGTATTTAACAATAAATTTTTTATATTTTTAGTTATTAATATTTTTTAAACATAATTATTAATAGTAAACTTAAAATAATTAGGTTTAATGTTAAAATAAATTTTTTAATTAATAAACTTAAAATAATTAGGTTTAATGTTAAAATTAATTATTTAATTAATAAATTTAAAATAAATAGGTTTAAATAAAAGTAATCTCAAATTAATTAAATAAATTTATGTTGATCTAAAAGTTAAGTGTTTATTGAAGTTAAAAAATTTAAAATAAATAGGTTTAAATAAAAATAATCTCAAATTAATTAAATAAATTTATGTTGATCTCAAGTTAAATTTTAAACCTAAATTGATTTAAATTAAAAAATTTAAAATATAAAAATTGAGTGCAAACACATGTATGTTTTCATAACATTGTGTCCCAAAAGACTAAAGCTTTTAGTGCATTTTGAGTTGAGTGGAGCCTAGAATACTTGCATTTCTAAATCAACGTTCTTCGTCGTCGTCATCAGCATCGGAGGAATCCTTTCCAATGTTCGATATAATGAAAAGAAATTCCGTAGTTGTGTTTTCAACAACAAAGCCTCCGATGAAGGTGCTCCTTTGGAATACGCAGACGTTGGAGCACTTGTACAGGGAACTGTACCGCTGGCTAGAAGGAGGTATTGCTCCAGGAGAAAAGATTAGGAAAATTGAGAGGTTGGTCGAGGAGACCGGGAGAAACGAAGTTACTTGTGAATGTAGAAAAGTGGAAAATGATGTCGGTGTCCTTGTGATGAGGTTGACACCAAAGAAGATAAAGTTGATGGTTGTTATATCGTAGACGCCTTGGTTCAGTGTTCTGTTTTATTTTATGTGTTTACGTTGTTTACGTTGTGATGATGTTTACGTTGTTTTTATGTGCAGTGTTCTGTCTTTATGTTGTTGTTATGTCAGTTAACTATGCTTTTAAATGAATGAAATTTGTTATTAATCGAATGAAATTTGCTATTTATCGAATGAAATTTGCTATTGATTTAAAGGGACAAGATTACATATGAAACTATGATCTGCTGCTTGATCCTACGTTTGGACATTTTGTACGATTGTGTCCTGGTTGCCGACACGAACTACACAATCTCACCAACTTGTCTGCGGTATCCATCTCCGTTCGAATGCGCGTGCTGTTAGGCCGACCCTTTTTCTTTCTGCGCATCAAGTCATTATGCCAAACAATTTCGCCTTCGTATTCAGGGCAATAGTCTTCCTTTGCCACCACCTGAAAGCTGCGTGTGTAGACATTGCATAGACTTATCACTTGGTGAACTGCAGAAAGAAGGTTGGTTGGATCCTGGCGCGCCTTTGAACATGCTGCTATGACATGAGAGCAAGGCATACAGAATGCTTGAAACTTTCCACAATCACACCAGCTCTTATCCAATTCAACACGGTAACATCCCCTAGGCCTTCCTTCGTTGTGATCAATAGACTCGACAACACTGAACCAACCAGTTGTGCGGTCAAAGATTGTGACCACGTGTGTGTTAGCTTTGGCAGCTTCCTCTTTAATGAATTTCATTGAAGTATCGCTATCGCTGGGGTCGTCCCAACAACATCCTCCTCCACAACTAAACACACAACGGCCCGACACACCACAACAACCTCGTCGTAGACCTCGTCGTAACGCGCATCCTCCACAGTGTTCATTCGGTCGAAGCTTCAAAAATCTTTTCCACCTATAGTGTCTTTGCTTTTCCATTCGGCCTTGGATTACACGAAATTCCATGTCCTTTCTAACCTTATCAATATCTTTTATTTTTCTTTAAAAATCTACCACTTTGATAAATACATTATCAAAAAAATTATTCTCAATATGCACAACATCAATATTATGTTGCAACAAAGTATCTTTCCAATATGGGAGGTCACACAATATATTTTTTTTACCCAATTGTGTTTGACCTCATATCCTTGAATCCTGTACGCTTCTATATAATTTGGGAATTTTGATAGTTCACAACCTCGGTTCCATACTTTATCTGGTGAAAATCAAGGGGGAGAAAAATTTGTTACTCATTCATCTTTGTTGAAATCATTCTTGTTTCTTCTAAAGACATGATCTTATGGTAGGAATGTGCGGT